ATGGAGTAGACTTTCCTGAAGAGAAAGAAGTTCTTTTCTGTGAAGCATGTGTGGAAGGCAAGCTGTCAAGGAAGCCACATAAGCCAGTAGGAGAAATTTGTTCAAAACATAAACTACAGTTGGTGCATAGTGACGTCTGTGGCCCAATGCAGACTGAGTCCATAGGTGGATCAAAGTACTTTGACTTTTATTGATGATTATTCTAGATGTTGCAAAGTATACTTCATGAAACAAAAGAGTGAAGTTCTTTCCAAATTCAAGGAATTTGAGAAAACATTATCCAATGAGTGCGGGCAGAAAATTGCAAGACTGAGAACGGATAATGGTGGGGAATACACTTCAAAAGAATTTCAAGAATACTTGAAGGTTCAAGGTATCCATCATGAGACAACTGTACCTCACACACCACAGCAAAATGGTGTTGCAGAAAGAAAGAACAGGACATTAATTGAAGCAGCAAGAACCATGCTCTCTCATGCTAAATTAACAAAGTCGTACTGGGCAGAGGCTGTAGCGACTGCAGCTTACACACAGAAAAGACTCCCCACATCTGTTCTGAAACAAGTGACGCCGTATCAGAGATGGTGCAACAAACAGCCAAATGTGGGTCACATGAAAGTGTTTGGTTGTGTAGCGCTTATGCACATGTCCCAGACACAGAAAGAAGAAAACTGGACAAGAAGGCTGTGAAGCTTCGTTTCGTGGGATATGCCAACACTGCCAAGGGCTATCGTTTGTATGATGAAGGAAAAAAGAGGATTCTGATTCGTCGGGATGTGATCTTCAACGAGTCAGATTTTGACTTGAAACAGGAAGTGGACATTTCTTGTTCAGAGAATGAAGTGGTCATGAAAACTGATGAGAGAACATCAGTTGATGCAACTGTCGATGAAACTAGGGTAGGACGGGTACAGTTGAGACATAGGTACAGTTGAGACGCCTTAAATAACTTGCGTGCGCTTCACCATGCACACTCCACAATGAATAGCTTATTATCATTATATGACTGTTAAACGTAACTGGTATAATCACAAACGTTATTCTGTGCCCTAAAAACGGGCATATTTCATGGTATTGTGTCATACATGGTCACTGCAAAATCTAGAGAAATGTTCGAGGTGGCCAGATAGAGTTCAATTAGGAAACACACTGTTTAGTTGTTCGGTGTTATAATAACAGGTTAAATGTCATAATTAGCCAGCATAAGCCGCAAATGAAATAAAAATTTGGTATTTGTGATAATTAAACTGTGTATTATTAATGAATATATAAAATAAATTGTTTCTGTTTTATAAAATTTAACCAGTGCCAATTAAAATAAAATTAATGAATTTGAATGGATTAATAAAAAAGATGTTGCCCAATTGTTATATTTTTTTATTTGTCTTTATTTATTATATTTTCAATGAACAATTAGTTACCTTTACATCATTAAAAATGGGTGTCTCAACTGTACCATGGTACTGTCTCAACTGTACCACATATTGGTAAAGTTGAGACAAAGTTGAGACAAAAAACAACTTATTTTTATGAGCTAATTGTGGAAAATATAAACTACTTATGAGTAATATTGTTTGATAATATCTTAGTCTACACTCTAATGAAATGTCATGTGGCATGTCATGTGAAAATTCATGTCTTTTCAGTATCTATATTTGTGTGAAAAATTAAGACACAAAAAGTGTCTCAACTGTACCCAGTCTACTACTAGAGTAGGTGGCAGAATCAGAAAGCCACCTAAGAGATTTGGTTATGACGAGTTTGCTGATCTGGTGACTGTTGAACATTATGCTAGTGTATAACCAAGTACACTGAAAGAGGCAATGATGAGTTCTAAAGCAAATGAGTGGCAGAAGGCGGCTGATTTGGAATATGAATCACTGCTTGCTTGAAAATAAGACGTGGGATTTGGTGGAATTACCAAAGGATCGGAAGGCCATAGGATCGAGATGGGTGTTTAAAGTTAAGCATCATAGTGATGGACAAGTGGAGCGATACAAGTGCAAACTTGTCGCCAAGGGTTATTCACAGAAGTATGGTGCTGACTACGATGAAACTTTTTCACCCGCGGTGCGTTTTAGCTGTCCTTCGCTGTCCAAAATAACATGCATGTGCATCAGATTGATGTGGTAACCGCATTTCTAAATGGACACCTGGATGAGATCTATATGGAGCAACCAGAGAGACACATCAGACCAGGGGAGGAAAATTTGGTGTGCAAGCTGAAGAAGTCAATATATGGACTGAAGCAGTCCCCTCGCTGCTGGAGCAAAACCTTCACAGAGTTCATGAAGAACATTGGTTTCAATCAGAGTACATCAGACCCATGTGTGTTTGTGAGATCTTGACAGGAGCTGGAGATATTAGCTGTGTATGTTGATGATCTAATTCTAATCACAGAGTCGATGGAAAGCATGGAAGAGTTGAAACAAGCTCTTAGCAAGCGCTACAAGATGAAGGACATGAGAGAACTGTCCTATATCTTGGGAATCTCAGTCATCCAAGACAAAAGAAAAAACTGTGTGTTTCTTCATCAGAAGCATTACATTGAAGCCATTCTTCAAAAGTATGGTATGGATGATGCAAATCCTGTTGCAACCCCTGCTGATGCAAATGTAAAGCTAAAAAAGGATGATGGTGTCAGTAAGTCTGTGGATTCAAGTACTTATCAGTCTATGGTAGGTAATCTACTGTATGCTGCGATGGCCACACGACCTGACATAGCACAAGCTGTGAGCGTTGTATCAAAGTTCAATGCAAACCCAAGTGTTTCACATCTGACTGCAGTGAAGCGAGTTCTACGATACTTGAAGGGAACAGTGAACCTTGCACTCAAGTATGAACAGACAGAATCTAGAGCTTTAGTTGGTTTCTCAGATGCTGACTGGGCTGGAGATCAGGACGATCGTCGCTCTACAACCGGTAATGTGTTTTTACAGGGTGGAGGAGCTGTGAGTTGGCTCAGTAAGAAACAGTCAACTGTTGCTCTTTCAACAGCTGAGGCTGAGTATGTTGCACTTAGCCAAGCAGCTCAGGAATGTGTCTGGCTTAGACGACTTCTGAGTGATCTTGGAATGGATGCTACTCCTGTGGTGATCCTGGAGGATAATCAAGGAGCTATTGCAATTGCGAAGAATCCAGTTGATCATTCAAGAACCAAGCACATTGACTTTCGTTACCATTACATTCGTGAATGAGTGCAGAATGGACAAATACAACTGAAATATTGTCCCACAGATGACATGAAGGCAGATATCTTTACCAAACCATTGGTGAGACAGAAGTTTGAGTATTTCAGGGGTGAGATTGGACTTTGTTTCATTTAATTCTGTTTAGTCTTATCTTGAATGGACTGTACTGTTAACTATGTTACGGTGTCAGACTATTAACTTTGAAAAAAAAGGAACTACAAATTTATTTATTTTTTTCTTTGGGGAGTTAATATAATTTACTAAGAAAGGCTTAGACCCATTGTAAAATTAAGTGGGAGTGTTGTAATATAGTAATTTGCCAATAGGTGTCACTGTTGTATTAAGTGAGTCACCACAGTTCTGTTAATTCTTCTTCACTGTTTTTCTCTCTCTCGCTGAAGTTAATAAAAAGGACAAGTGAACTTTCAACACTAATGCGGTCCTCCGCCTCTGTGGTTCTCTTTTGCAGCTCTGTAAGTTCTCCTTTCAGATCAGCGAAAGATGTTTCCAGCCGACTTAAAGCTAGTTGAGTCTGAGTGTTCCATCTTGGTTGTCTTTCCTCATTTTCTCGAGCTCAGCCAGTATTTTTGACTCGGAGTCACGCATACTAGAATCTGATTGCGCACTCTGCGCTTGTAGTAGAGTTAGCTGCTTTAAGTTTTCTCCTTTTTCCTTAATTGAATCCTGTTTAGATTGTCCTTTCCCAGACAGCAAACTGACATTGAATCAACGTGGAAACGACGTCTCTCTCAAACAACGTTGATTTTGCTCATCGAATTAACGTTGAACCAACGTCAGACGCGGGATTCTTCAAAGCTAAATGAAAATCGAAAATTGGTTTGCTTTCATAACGTTGAAACAACGCGTTGATTTCAAGTTGATTTTCCGTTAGTTTTGAAAGAATGACGCGTCTGACGTTGGTTCAACGTTAATTCGATGAGCAAAACAATGTCAGATCAACGTTGTTTCGATGTCATATTTCCACGTTGATTCAATGTCAGTTTGCTATCTGGGTTGCCTCTAGTTGTCGACATGTCGAATTTGTAAAGAATTGCCGAGTTTTATGCTGGTTTTGTTAGGAAATTGTTACAATTTTGGACGGAGCAAGTCCCTCAGGCAGCTGTCAACATGGCGTCACCGGAAGTCTCCCCTAAACAGGCCATTTTTAAATAATTCAAAAAAGCAAGGGTCCCAATACCTTACCTGGTGGTACTCCAAATTATCTGAGAACACTCCATTAAAATCTACCCTTTGACACCTATTTGACATACAAATTTACAAGCATTTAGAAAAGGAAACCAGTTTTACCCCAAAATCTATCAAACAGTTAGTAAGGTCGTGTTCAGATCAGTATACAATATATACAGCATAAAATCACACAAAATTTGAGTTATCTAGACGTGAACCCTCCATGGAAAGACCCTGACTGCAGACTACAAAATAATTGGGAGTAATTGTAATGAGAGTTAATAATGATTCATGATTCATGCGACTGAGGACCACACATTTTGCATTAAAGTCCCACAGTTACGAGAATTATCAGAGAGATCAGCAGAGGACTGAAGTGGATATACTGGTTTGAAGCAACTGAGCCAGTGCTTTGGGTAGCAGTCAGTGCTGGGTTCAAGTAGGATGTTGTTGGAGTTGTTGTGGTACCAGTGCTTGAGTAGTTTTTGTGGCATTAATGGTTGAGGAGTTCGTTGTTGGAGTTGTTGAACTATCAATGATTGAGTTGGTCATTGTTGGAGTTGTTAAAGTATCAATGATTGAGTTGGTCGTTGTTGGAGTTGTTGTGGTACCAGTGCTTGAGTAGGTCGTTGTTGAAGTTGTTGTGGTACCAGTGCTTGAAGAGGTCATTGTTTGAGTTCTTGTGGTATCATTGCTTGAGTATGTCGTTTTTGGAGTTGTTGTAGTATCAGTGCTTGAGTAGGTCGTTGTTGGAGTTGTTGTAGTATCACAAAGGTGATAATCGAGATTCAGCGCGTAGGTCAAGCCAAAGAGGACAGAGCAAGGCCGCTGCAATATTTCCAAGTCCTGTGATGACGATTCCAATGTTCTTTGGGTAGTTGCTTGTAGAAGCTTCAGGTTTTGGGGTCAGAGTAATGGCCATTATGAACTGTTCCTTCAAGTTCTCAGTGTCCTGCAACATAAAATTGTAGTGTCTTAGTATAAAACTGTCAGAAGTATATTGCAAGCATATAGCAGAACTAGACAATACATTCATTATGGTTTTCATAGCTTATAAATCTATTTGATTACATTTTATTTTCTCACAGGCCTTGGTCTCAAATTGTTTGTTGTTTTCTTCTCTATTTTGATGTTTTTTTCTCTATTTTTTATGTTTGTTGTAGTCTACAAATGTTCTTCCATTGTAATGAGGGATTTATGGTGTTCTACTACTATTATGTCCCTCTCTATGTAGGCTACAGTATCTTCATCCCTCTAGTTGAATTCAGAGATTTAGAGAAGAGGTTGTATTCGCTATAACAACATTATCCATCCCGCTTATTACATGGCTACCTACCAAACAAATAAATAATTTGACACAATATATTGATTTAAAAATGAGTTTCCTTTTTAAATCAATCAAAGTTCCCAAAAGCGTTGCCATATGGAGTTTAACCGCAGAGACGGAACAGACTATTTTCTTTAGCGGAAGCAATACAATCGTTTTTAAATCAATAAACTCCTTTTTAAATCAGTAAATCGTGTCAAATTATTTATTTATTTGGTAAGTAGCCATGTAATAAGCAGGAAAATATAGAGCAAGGTGGTTGTTATAGCGAATACACCCCCTTCTTCATCTCCGCTTCGCGTCGCGGTCATAAATCAGCCTGTCAGGTTTTCTATTTGCCATAACAACGCCTCGCTCGACATTATCCCTTACATATAACCACTACATGCGTTCTTTTTACTAGTCCAGTGAAAACAAAATAAGTTTTCTTACCTTAGTCAACCAGCTGCAAGATGAGCAAGTGGAAGACGACGAACATTCACCGTCTGTAGGCAGCTTAACGTATCTCTTCAAATGCCGTCTGGTGCACTTTGACAGGAAGTGCTTTTGAATTTAAATTTGCCTGATTACATTAATTTGAATTCACTCAATATTCTCTCCATTTGGAATTAAATTAATAAAAATGCTTAAGTTTCATTTAACTACAATGGGTGGTTTTTATTCCAAACATTTTTATTTGAATTAAATTAATAAAAAATGCTTAAGTTTTAATTAACAACAATGGGTGGTTTTTATTCCAAACATTTTTATTTGAAATTTAATTAAATATTTGCCTCAAAATCAAAAACACAATTATATTGAATACATTTTAACCAAAAACATTAATTCAAATCTACATCACCACAGAATCATTTCTTACAGTGTAGCAAGGAGTAGGGTAAGCCAGGGGGACACAGGAGTAGGGGGTAGCATAGAGTAGGGTAAGCGAGGGGGATCCAGGAGTAGGGGTAGCCGCAGAACCGAATAAAATAGCTTTAGTTTTCCCTAAATGTAAAAACAGCTTATTTGGAAAAAACAGTTGGATACTGCTGCAATCTCTCTGCTTAATTTGCTTTCTATTATTTATTTGTTCTCATCAGTAACAATTATTGTAGCATCATCAGCAGATAATGAAAGGTGGTTAAACAGGCCATTTTTAAATCATTTAAAAAAGCAAGGGTTAAAAAAGCAAGGGTCCCAATACGATACCTGGAGGTACTCCAAATTATCTGAGAACACTCCATTAACATCTACCCTTTGACACCTATTTGACATACAAATTTACAAGCATTTAGAAAAGGAAACCAGTTTTACCCCAAAATCTATCAAACAGTTAGTAAGGTCGTGTTCAGATCAGTATAATATACAGCATTAAATCACACAAAATTTGAGTTATCTAGACGTGAACCCTCCATGGAAAGACCCTGACTGCAGACTACAAAATAATTGGAGAGAGTAATGAGAGTTAATAATGATTCATGATTCGTGCGACTGAGGACCACACATTTTGCATTAAAGTCCCACAGTTACGAGAATTATCAGAGAGATCAGTAGAGGACTGAAGTGGATATACTGGTTTGAAGCAACTGAGCCAGTGCTTTGGGTAGCAGTCAGCGCTGGGTTTGAGTAGGATGTTGTTGTGGTACCAGTGCTTGAGTAGTTCGACATTGAAGTGTTTGTGGTATTAATTCTTGAGGAGTTTGTTGTTGGAATTGTTGAAGTATCAATGATTGAGTTGGTCGTTGTTGGAGTTGTTGTGGTACCAGTGCTTGAGGAGTTCGTTGTTGGAATTGTTGTGGTACCAGTGCTTGAGTAGGTCATTGTTGGAGTTGTTGTGGTACCAGTGCTTGAAGAGGTCGTTGTTGGAGTTGTTGTAGTATCAGTGCTTGAGAAGGTCGTTGTTGGAGTTGTTGTAGTATCAGTGCTTGAGTAGGTCGTTGTTGGAGTTGTTGTGGTACCAGTGCTTGAAGAGGTCGTTGTTGGAGTTGTTGTAGTATCACTGCTTGAGTAGGTCGTTGTTGGAGTTGTTGTAGTATCAGTGCTTGAGTAGGTCGTTGTTGGAGTTGTTGTAGTATCAGTGCTTGAGTAGGTTGTTGTTGGAGTTGTTGTAGTATCAGTGCTTGAGTAGGTCGTTGTTGGAGTTGTTGTTGTATCAGTGCTTGAGTAGGTCGTTGTTGGAGTTGTGGTAGTATCAGTGCTTGAGTAGGTCGTTGTTGGAGTTGTTGTAGTCTCAGTGCTTGAGTAGGTCGTTGTTGGAGTTGTTGTTGTATCAGTGCTTGAGTAGGTCGTTGTTGGAGTTGTGGTAGTATCAGTGCTTGAGTAGGTCGTTGTTGGAGTTGTTGTAGTCTCAGTGCTTGAGTAGGTCGTTGTTAGAGTTGTTGTTGTATCAGTGCTTGAGTAGGTCGTTGTTGGAGTTGTTGTAACATCAGTGCTTGAGTAGGTCGTTGTTGGAGTTGTTGTAGTATCAGTGCTTGAGTAGGTCGTTGTTGGAGTTGTTGTAGCATCAGTGCTTGAGTAGGTCGTTGTTGGAGTTGTTGTAGCATCAGTGCTTGTGTAGGTCGTTGTTGGAGTTGTTGTAGTCTCAGTGCTTGAGTAGGTCGTTGTTGGAGTTGTTGTTGTATCAGTGCTTGAGTAGGTCGTTGTTGGAGTTGTTGTAGTATCAGTGCTTGAGTAGGTCGTTGTTAGAGTTGTAGTATCAGTGCTTGAGTAGGTCGTTGTTGGAGTTGTTGTAGTATCAGTGCTTGAGTAGGTCGTTGTTGGAGTTGGAGTATCAGTCCTTGAGTAGGTCGTTGTTGGAGTTGTTGTAGTATCAGTGCTTGAGTAGGTCGTTGTTGGAGTTGTTGGAGTATCAGTCCTTGAGTAGGTCGTTGTTGGAGTTGTTGTAGTATCAGTGCTTGAGTAGGTCGTTTTTTGAGTTGTTGGAGTATCAGTCCTTGAGTAGGTCGTTGTTGGAGTTGTTGTAGTATCAGTGCTTGAGTAGGTCGTTGTTGGAGTTGTTGTAGTATCAGTCCTTGAGTAGGTCGTTGTTGGAGTTGTTGTAGTATCAGTGCTTGAGTAGGTCGTTTTTGGAGTTGTTGTGGTATCAGTGCTTGTAGATTCACCCAATGTGTTCTGATAGGAGGAGATAAAGCTCAGATGAGGTCATTTCTATTGATAAATTTTTCGTTTGAAATACCCAATAGGATGTTCGAAATTTCTGATATGTTTTCTCCTTTTTATGAACAAGAAAATAAGAAAAACAGCAAACCTTTATAATAAGGTATCATCTGGGGCTCGCTAACGTCGCTAACTCAGTTAGCTGGATTTGATTGTTGGCGATTTGCCATGATCTTGGATCGTTTGGTTCTTCGAAGCTCATCCTGGACTTGCTGTCATAGCAACAGGTCCGTCAGCTTGAACCTGCTCGCGAGCAGGCTTATTTCATGCAAACAGGATTAGATCGCGACTGATACAGGAAGTCCTTTAGCGCAGTGTGACAATGTAGCCTAATTTCTGAGATTTTTTTTTTTCTCGTGAAACGATCGTCGTGAGGGTGTTGTTTAAATACATTATTATTTTGTTGGAAATGCACATTAATGTTCGATTCGATGTCGGGCTTCAACAACAGCACAAAATGTTTGCATTGCCCTAAAATTATTTGCGAGTGGCTTCCCTTTACACTATTGGAGATGCGGAGAACTTGATAAGCTTTCTGTCGTGAATCGTGCCATTCACAAAGTTTACCTAGCGCTCTTAGGTTTGTGCCAACTTAGGGTATATTATAATTTTTAATGAAGATAATGCAATCATGATGATCATGCCGATTATGACTTACAGTCCCTTAGGCTTAACTTACGTGATTGGTGCCATACACTGTAGACTGCACACATGTTCCCATCAAAGCCTCAATGAAGGGATTTTGTGAGCAGAAAGGGGGCTTATGTAAATGTGCAGCCAAATTACTATTACAATTTTTAATATTCCAGATTAGTAATATTATATCACTTTTTTTAAAAAGGCAGTTGACTGAGTAAAATCTCTTAGATGGTGTATGACATGTTCCATATCACAAATCAGTGTGAAAGCAAAATGGCCAGTGCATGACTCAAGAATTTTAAGAGATTCACATTTATGAACATTATTTGAACGTGGTGAGGAAAATTATAAATATCAAACTCACGGTATTATATACACTTATGCTGAGAACTGCATTTTCATTATACAGGTGATTACAACAGGATCCTGCTTGGAGACAGGTGTTTCATGACCCCACTCCCTGACCCAAACCCCAGACCAGTTACAATGCAGCTCTAGGACAAGGGCACACAATGACATGAGCTTTGGCCAACTAAAGGGAAGATTTCAGGGTCTGAAAAGCCTGAGGGTTGCACCTGACAGGGCCTGTGACATTGCATGTGTCATATTACACAACACTGCCAACATCAGAAAAAGAAAAGAAAAAAATGTTTAATTAAGCCTAAAATAAAAGACAAGACAAATTTGCAAAACTCTATTTGCTTAGAGTTTTATTTCAATAGTTCTTTGTAAAGAAAAGCCAGTTATTCAGTCATCTTTTTAAAAGATATTATGCAAGGTCAGCAATTGTACTCTGTGTAAAATAGTGTATTTTACTCTGAAGTTTATTTTGAAGCAACTGTATTTCTAGTGCAATTTTTTCTTTGTCAAGTTCTATTTCTTCCCCTGATTTTTGTTTTTTCAAAATACTCTATTTTCTGTTGAAGACTCATATAGGGAACGAATTTCACCCTGTGTCGTTTGTGTCACGCCTCATGCAACAAATAAAAAGCAAAAGTTGTCTCTACACTGCCCACCCCTGTATCACTGCTGTGTGCAGACTCTTCTGTAGGCCTTTCTGTACATGTGGACTCCTGTCAGAAATAATAGGCATAGGCACAAGTAGAAATCAATTAAAGCCATCAATTAAATTAAAGTACTTCCTCCAAAGGACAGTCATCTGAGAAATTTTCTTCACTCTCCAGTGCAATGTTTGATAACTCATGGCAAAATATTTTTACATTAACATAAGTTTATCAGTTTTTACTTTCACAAGACAAAGAAATTTATTATTACTCAAGATTTAACAGTTGAAATGACTAAACTAGCCAATTTGGATTATAGGTCTACTTCATTTAATGCAACAAATTATTTCACAGTGTACAAAGATAATTTAAATCTCATTTCCCAGTGATGAAGGTGTTGCTGCTACTGGTCCCTGATGTGGGTCTGGAAGAGCTGAACCCAGGGATGCCCTTCAAAACAGGGCAATTCACATTCAACCCAAGGGTCAGCTCTTCTGCCAGGGTCAGGAGCATCCTTATTATTTTTTTCTCAGCCTTTTCCCTTGCTTTTATAAACAGACAATCATTTATTTAACAGTGCCTTTTTAAAAGAGACTATAAGGCCTAGTAAAATTACCAGTAGAATATTTTTGTACTTCACTTTCACCATGTCCATTGTGGTGTACTGGTATACACCACACTGCTATAGTGTGGTGACTCGACATTACAATGAACAAAGTAATTATGAAATTATGAAAATAAAAATAAAATAATAATAATAAGTTATTAAAACATCTGACATGGCCACCACAAACGCATTTAATTTGTCTTCTACTTTTGCCAGCACTCTCTCCTGGCTTTTGCACACTTTGAGGTGTTCCCTGGCGTTTTAATTAAAGACTGAAATATGGTAAAACCTTGCATTAAAAGAGCTTGCTCTGTTTAGGGAAAAACTGGGCGTGTTCTTTGGCCATGCTGAACACCCAATAGCAGCGTTGCTGATCACATGTCCCCTTTTAAACCAACGCGAGAACGCGCAGTTATCTCAGATAACTCAATCCAGCGATACTAATCATAAACAACAGGTGTGTTCGAAGAACCCAATTAGCCGGATCATGATTAGCACGATGATATTATCTTGGATGTCTCAGTTGATCTGGATGTTTTAAGCAACGTACGAAGAACGAGCCCCTGGTAACTATAGTTATACAATACATAACACTAGTTAATTTATTAACTAACATGAACTAACTGTCAGGCTTGGTGTAGGCTGTGGTAAGTGGACAAGGAGTAGAGGAGCCAGTGTGAGCAAGGAGTAGGGGTAGCAAGGAGTAGGGGGAGCCAGGAGTAAGGGGAGCAAGGAGTAGGGGTAACAAGGGGTAGGGGGAGCCAGTGTAAGCCAGGATTAGGGGTAGCAAGGAATAGGGGGAGCCAGTGTTATCCAGGAGTAGGGGTAGCAATGAGTAGGGGAAGCCAGGAGTAGGTGGAGCCAGGGGAGCCTGGAGTTGGGGGAGCCAGTGTGAGCAAGGAGTAGGGGTAGCAAGGAGTAGGGGGAGCCAGGAGTAGAGCCAGTGTGAGCAAGGAGTAGGGGTAGCAAGAAGTAGGGGGAGCCAGAAGTAGAGGGAGCCAGGAGTAGGGGGAGACAGGAGTCGGGAGAGCCAGTGTGAGCAAGGATTAGGGAGAGCCAGGAGTAGGAGGAGCCAGGAGTAGGGGGACTGGTCGAGACTGTTTTCCAAAGATGGCTCCTGTCTGTATACATGAAGTGAACTGTCTTTATAAAGTATCTTCTTATTAAACTGTCTGTACACTTACAAAGTTCTCAATGCTTCGGTTTGCATGTAGAGACCCTCATTATGTTACTAGTGTGGGGCTATTTTGAGCATTGTTAGTGGTATTAACAAGCAATTTTTATTTTTCATTATTCTATGCCTTAAATAATAGCGTTGTAAGCTGAACAGTTTTTAAAGATAAAACTCTTGACATTCAATTATCATGAAAACAAATCTCAGAGAACGGTCGACTAGGTAGCAATGTGTTATTAGACCAAGGGTTTCTTTTGCACCGGAGTTGTCCTTTAAAAGAACATAATTTAAAAATTAATACATACATTAGTCACTTATTAGGGAGTAACTGCATTACTGTTAATGTATTATTAATCGTATTAATTAACAATTATTGTAATTATTGTATTGTATCTATCTGTACAATATTGTTATGCATTTTAAATATCTATATTTCACAAACCTTTAGAACCAGTTCTAAACCTGATAAAACCTACCTAACAAATTATATGAGGTAGATTTGTTTAAGGATTTGCTTGGTATAGGAATGAAAATGAAAAGATTCATTAAAGTTCATTCAAATCATATAATAGAATAAATCAGATTAAAATTTTACTGTCATTTTTACTTTTGTAACAGTAATATTGTGACTTATTACTCCATTGTAAATCATCTGTTTTCTGTGTGAATATAAAGTGTAATTTGTTCCTGTGATCAAAGCTCAATTTATCATCATTAGTCTTCAGTGTCACATGATCCTTCACAAATCACTCTAATATGAGGATCCATGATCAACAAACATTTATGATTATTATCAGTGCTGAACACAGTTGTGCCGTGTAAACTCACCTGAGCCGTGATGAGCATGAGGCAGATGTAGAGGACAGTGGCGTGTCTCATCGTCACAGGTGTTGGGATGGTTACAGGAGCTGGTTGTTTAGGTCTACTGCAGTGCCCTCCGCATTCAGTTTATATACACACTTCCTCAAATGCTGATGACTGGTGCTAATGCAATATGCAAAATATGTCTGAGTCTGAGAGATATTTTCATAGAAACACCTGTTCAGCATCAATGACCGAGACTTAGAGCATTTGACTTTAGTCAGCATGATTGAACATTATGACTTCCAGTCTCGCCTCATTTATGTTTCGTGCTGGCGAAAAATATCTTAGGTGGGGCTGTGTCATATTTGGCATTTTCAATAGTCTGGTAACCATGGAACTCAGGTCTTTTAGCATTGTGGCATGCTCTTCCTCAAGACATCTGTCAAGCATCCACCCTTCTCTCCATCAAAAACCTCTTAAAAACACTTAAAAAAAATCTGAATATTACTCTTTAGCTCACAATCTTTAAAGGTTCCATGACATGCTTATTTTTGTACGCTTTGATGTAGACCTCTGCCTTGTTATGGATATTGTAAGAGATTAATGTAAGTAACCTCTGAATATTACTTTCTGTCATCTTTGATGTTGAGGTTTATTTATTTTTTTAATTTCTTAACCTATATTGTAAAGTGACCTGGTGTGGAAAGGCTATATAATTAACAATTCTTGTTATAATTCATTTTAATAACCACCCAAATACAATTTAAGGATATCAGTGCTTTGTGAAAAAGTAATTATTTAATGCCAATATTAAACGGTTGAGGCATTCTTGCACAAAAACAAACGTACTGCATAAACTTTTCATTTGAAATTGAACTTAAACAATATACTAAGTGATTGCTTAATTAGCTGATTAAATTGTAAAAAAGTATTACTCACAACAATTTTGAGTGATTTTTCAAGGAAATATTCCACATGTACAGTAAATAAGACTTGTCCTAGTGGTGCGCATGGGCGCGGTCAGGGCCGCGCGCATGCTTGGGGCGCTACAAGAATCGCCCATAGCTGACTAGATTTGAGCTCGCTGATTGGCTACAAGTTATGTCAATCATTTATATCTTAAATCAGCGATTGGCTAAGCTGCTCCAGAGACCCGCCTTCCTGGAGCGATTTTTCTAGCGTCCCAGAGCTGATCACGTTTTCTCGCTATGCCTGCACTACAGGAAGGGGAAGTGTCGAAAAACCAGACATTTTGAACTTCTATTTTATTTTTCACATATACTGGGTGCATTTAACATCTCAAACACACTAATATTGACAATTTGTATACATGATTTATGTATTTACTTATTTATTGCATTTGGCTCATAAACTGTGGTCTGGCTCATCGAGGGAGGGCGGCGCCCTAGCGCCCTCAATTGGCCAGCCGCCCCTGGTTTCGTGTTTTTCAGGTCTTGTTCACTGCACAGCTTCTATGGGAGTCAATATTTAGGGGTTCAAGCGCATATGCTGAATCCATACTGTTAATTTTCCCATGATGCAGAATTGTCCATCTTAAAGGGTTAGTTCACCCAAAAATGAAAATTAAGTAATTAATTACTCACCCCCATGCTGTACCAACCCCGTAAGACCTTCGTTCATCTTCGGAACACAAATAAAGATATTTTTGATTGAATCTGAGAGCTAGATCAGTCCTACATAGACTGCCTAAGGGACTGGCTCTTGACGGCCCATAAAGTCATTAGAGAAAAGGTTTAAATATTCCATGTGCCTACAGCGGCTCAAGTTTATCAAGCGACGAGACTACTTTTTGTGCGAAAAAAACATAAATAATGACTTTATTCCACTATTCCATTACTTCCTTATGGGCGCATGCGCGAGAACTGAGACGAGGACATTCTCATTCGTCTACTTCTTGTTACCGGCTGCTCACCGCTTAGGAGTTTTACCGCCCCCTACCGTATAAGATGATGTGCTGATATAGCTGGAAGCGCAAAACTTTCTGTTTACAAGCAGAGAAAGATGCGCGCTGTACATACGCTTTTCAATTTGCGTATTTTCCGCACTATAAGGTGCACTTAAAAGCCTTTAATCTTCTCAAAAAACGACAGTTTTCCTTATAATCCGGAGCGCCTTATATATGGATCATCATTTTATACGGTAGGTGGCGGTAAAACTCCTGAGCGGTGAGCAGCCGGTAACAAGAAGTAGACGAATGAGAACGTCCTCGTCTCAGTTCTCACGCATGCGCCCATAAGGAAGTAATGGATTGGTGGAATAAAGTCGTTATTTATGTTTTTTTCGCACAAAAAGTAGTCTCGTCGCTTGATAAAATTATAATTGAGCCGCTGTAGGCACATGGAATATTTAAACCTTTTCTTTAATGACTTTATGGGCCGTCAAGAGCCAGTCCTTTAGGCAGTCAAGGACTGATCTAGCTCTCAGATTCAATCAAAAATATCTTTATTTGTGTTCCGAAGATGAACGAAGGTCTTACGGGGTTGGAACAGCATGGGGGTGAGTAATTAATGATTTAATTTTCATTTTTGGGTGAACTAACCCTTTAAACTGATCGGGCAGAACGAACCGCAAGTCGTAGAGACTTGAAACTTTGAGGGCTGGTAGTACTCACACCGCTCATAGCGTCACCAAGGCCCACCCTGATCGGCCTGACGGGGTCGCTACAGCAGGCAAAAGTACGAAACGACTCATAACTCCTAACCGTTAGACGTGGGCTTGTGTCTTACATTGTTGCAATCCTTGCCTCAAGGCAGACAATATTCAATATTCAGGTGTTTGGGGTTTTCCCAAGAAACATACTTTGGCGAACTAGTCCAAGGTTTTTGGCTGATCGAAACCAAAACACTGCAGGGATATTCTCTGGAGAGTGTGTCAATAATAATCAGAAAAATTCAAAATTTCAATTCACGGTTTCCAAGGGGAACCAAAATGTTGGATGTGACGCGGGGCCACTTTTACTAAAGCGGTTGTAACTTGTGGACAAAAAGAGATATATTCGCTAAACTCGAGACACACGTTTATGAGCTCAATCTGAGGTCACGTGAAAAATAATCGAGATGATTGGACACTTGGTGGCGCTATAACAGGGAAAAAATCATCAACTAATCTTGACTAATAACAACTAACCATTCTTCCTAACTAATCTTTCTTTCTAACAATTTTTTTTTCTTTCTAAATAATCTTTCTTTCTAACTAATCTTTCTTTCTAACTACTATTTCTTTCTTTTAGCTATTCATTCGTTCTTTCTAACTAATTTTCCTTCTTTCGAACCATTCTTTCTTTCTTTCTAACTAATCTTTCTTTCTAACTAATATTTCTTTCTAACTAATCTTTCTTTTATTGTAACTAATCTTTCTTTCTAACTAATCTTTCTTTCTTTCTAACTAATCTTTCTTTCTTTCTAACTAATCTTTCTTTCTTTTAACTATTCATTCGTTCTTTCTAACTAATTTTCCTTCTTTCGAGCCATTCTTTCTTTCTAACTATTGTTTCATCCTAACTTTTCTTTCAGTCTAACTAATCTTTCTTTATTTTTTCTTTCTAACTATTCTTTCTTTCTGTGACGTTGAAACAAGAGTGAAGCGGAGAGAATCCAAGTGCAAGCATACATTTAATGCACAAACAGGTAATCCAGGGCAAAACAACAGAACATGAACTCGGGGGCCCGTTCTTCATACGTCGCTTACTCAGTTAGCTGGATTTGATAGTTGGCGATTTGGCATGATCTTGGATCGTTTGGTTCTTCGACGCTCATCCTGGACTTGCTGTCATAGCAACAGGTCCGCCAGCTTGAACCTGCTCGCGAGCAGGCTTATTTCAGGATAACAGGATTAGATCGCGGCTTTATAAGCGGAGGTGAAATGGGAAGTCTTTTAGCGCTTTTTGAGAGATATCATATTTCTCATGACTCGTGAGGATGGCGTTTACATCATTAATTTGTTGGAAATGCATAAATGTTCGACTCGGAGTCGGGTTTTAACATGGGTTTTAATAACAGTGCAGGCAAGTTACTATTGCGATCCTTATCCAGATTAGTAAGATTATATCAAATTTTATAAAGGCAGTTGACTGACTAATCTCTTAGATGGTGTGTGACTATGTTCCATATCACAAATATGTCCAGCATATGCAAGATTCAAGAATTTTCAGAGATTTATTCACATTATTTGAACGTGGTAAGGAAAAATCAAGCTCACTGTATTACATACACTTATGCTTATCCTAACAGAACTGAATTTTTCCATTATACAGGTGATTACAGCAGGATACTTCCTGGAGACAGGTGTTTTATGAGCCCATTCCCTGACCAGTTACAATGTCGCTCTAGCCAGGACAAGGGCACACAATGAAGTGAACTTTAGCCAACTAAAGTGTCTGAAAAGTCTGATGGTTGCACCTGACAGGGCCTGTGACATTGCATGGGCCATATTACACAACATTGCACCATCAGAAAAAATATAAAACATTTCATTAAAAGGTTAGTTCACCCAAAAATGAAAATTAAGTCATTAATTACTCACCCCCATGCTGTACCAACCCCGTAAGACCTTTGTTCATCTTCGGAACACAAATGAAGATATTTTTGATTAAATTTTAGAGCTGTCTCACTACCACATTGGCTGCGTAAGGGACTGGCACTTGACGGCCCAGAAAGTCAATGAAGAAAATGTTTAAATATTCCATGTGACTACCGTGGCTCAACTATAAGTTTATCAAGCGACGAGAATACTTTTTGTGCGAAAAAACAAACAAAAATAACGACTTTATTCGACTATTCCTTTTCTTCCTTGTTGGCCTGAAACGAGACTTCCTTAGATTTCCACGACGCATGCGCGAGAACTGCGACGCATGCGCGAGAATTGCGATCTCCTTCAACTACTTCAGTTCAGTTCTCGCGCATGCGTCGTGGAAATCCAAGGAAGTCTCGTTTCAGGCCAACAAGGAAGAAAAGGAATAATCGAATAAAGTCGTTATTTTTGTTTGTTTTTTCGCACAAAAAGTATTCTCGTCGCTTGATAAACTTATAGTTGAGCCACGGTAGTCACATGGGATATTTAAACATTTTCTTCATTGACTTTCTGGGCCGTCAAGAGCCAGTCCCTTACGCAGCCAATGTGGTAGTGAGACACCTCTCAAATTTAATCAAAAATATCTTCATTTGTGTTCCGAAGATGAACGAAGGTCTTACGGGGTTCGTACAGCATGGGGGTGAGTAATTAATGACTTAATTTTCATTTTTGGGTGAACTAACCCTTTAATGTTTAATAAAAGACAAGACAAATATGCTTATAGTTATTTGAGTTTTATTTTAATTATTCTTGTAAAGAAAAGGCTGTGATCAAGTCATCTTTTGCCTGCGAATAATATTGTACTCTGTGTGAAATAATATATTAGCACTTATTTCTGAATTTCCTATGAAGCAACTCTATCTCTAATGCCAGTTTTTTTCTTTAAGTTGTCAAAATAATTTTCTAGGGGTAGGGGTGAACCTGTCAACACATGGCTTATGCATCAAAAATTAAAAGGAAAAGTACAACACTGCCTACCTCTGCATCACTGCTTTGTGCAGACGCTTCTGTACATGTGGACTCCTGCAACTCATATTGCATTCAGAAATAATAGGTATTCAAGTGTAAATTAAAGGGCACCTATTATGGAAAATTCACTTTTACATGGTGTTTGAACATAAATGTGTGTTGGCAGTGTGTGAGCAAAACCACCCTAGAATGATAAAAATCCATCCAGTAGTTTTTTTACAATCTCAATAAATCATCTGCACTGCCTCAGAACGAGCTGTTCTGAGATCCAGGTCTTTGTGACGTAGAACGGGAGACAGGGGGTTGATTGACAGTGTGGCTGTGGCCTAGACCCCGCCCTCGGTGATCTGTACACACCATCCTTCATTGTTTCAACGACGACAGCCGGTAATGTCTCTTGGAAACGTAAATTAATGTTCTGTCGTGGACTCGTGGGTTAATCCTGTTGTTGTGGCTTAAAAGTTAATCCTCAAGTGTGGATTCTTGTCTACTGTTTGCGATCCACCGTCACCTCCAGTAACAGTAAGTGTATTTTATGATTTTTGAGCAAATAGTCTTTTCAGTCAATGTCAGCCAATTCAACAACAAATGCGTCTAAAGTTATTGCCGTCGTAGGATGTCTGTGTATATAATTTAAAACCTTGTTTGTATAGTGTGTAACCACACGTTTATAAAATATATATTTTTAAATATATTGTATTAAAAACTGCATATATGTTGGTGTTCTGTAAGTTAGCCATCTTCTCACATTTGCCACAGAAGCACCCGTATGACAAGCTAAACATGATGCCACAGGTCCCTCGCATAAATGTAATTTCGCTCGTACGTAGCAAACTTTATCACAGAATGTGTATGTAGTTTCAAAAAACTTGCGCTAGTGTCTGTGTGTGTGTGTGTGTGTTGGACATCCATCATTTCAAATGGGACGCTAATACAACTCTAAAGTACATAAAAGTAGCAAATAACCATACCGAGACGTACTGGTCCATTCTCATATGTTTATTCTGCCGGAGTCTCTTCATGCTATTTATATATTCCGATTCAAACGTACGGCTGAATGACATTCAAAACGGCGCGTCTCTTCACTCTCTCAGTACCGACTGCCTGCCATAGGTATCAAGTTACGCCCTCATCCAAAGGCAGGGCGGGGATATGCAGCTCATTTGCATTTAAGGTGGAATACCCCCTGAAACAGCTCATTTTTAAGCAGGCCCCAAAATGACATTTTCAAATGGTTATAATAAATTAACTGTGGGGTATTTTGAGCTGAAACTTCACAAATACATTCTGGGGACACCTGAGACCAATATTACATCTTGTAAAAAGGGGCATAATAGGTGCCCTTTAAGTAAAGCTATTTATGCACTTAAAGATACTTGAGAGGGTTCCTTCACTGTCCTGTGCATTGGGGAAAAATGGGCATTACAACGTGTTGTACTTTCTTCCCTTTTGATGTACAGTAACATTAGAAAAAGTCCACTTACTGCACATGCTTCAGCCACTTGCTTGGGAACATATAAGTGTTAGTGTATTGAAGTGATACAATGAACTACACTGGGGGAAATGTGATCAATAACTCATGGCAACATATATTTTTTTTTACATTAAGTTATGTAGTTAATTAATTAAATTATGTAGTTTCAGAGTCACACATGTAGACTTTCACAAGACAAAATAATTCATCAAGGTTTAACAGCTGATATGACTGGACAGCCATTGGATTATAGGCCTACTTAATTTAATGCAGCAGCAAATTATTTTATAGTGTACTAGGATCATGTAAAGTTCATTTACCAGCAGTGAAGGTGCTGTGTGTGTGAGGAAGACCTGAAGGATGCCCTCCACAAGGTTCACATTTAACCCAAGGGCCAGCTCTTCTGCCTGGGTAATGTGGGGGTGCAGGACCACCACCTGTTTGTTTTTCGGTTTTTTTTTCTCAGCCTTTTTCTTGCTTTTACAAACAGGCAAACGTTTATTAACAGTGCCTTTTTAAAATGGATTAGTTAGTACAAATTACTATTATGTAGAATATTCTAGTACTTCACTTTTACTTGTTCCTATGTTCTAGCAGTGGGTGTGACTGACATTACAATGAAAAAAGTTATTAATTTTTCAGAAATTATTAAAATATAAATAAAATATAAATATATATACTGTAATAAACATCTAACTACAAACTTAATTTGTCTGCTACTTTTTGCCGGCTTTCTCTCCTGGCTTTTGCACACTTTAAGGTGTTTCCTGCATTTTAATTAAGTTTTCAAATTCAGCTTATCCGTCTTGCTCTTCTGTGGAGAAAGAAAACTGAGCGCGCTCTTTGGCCACGGCAAACAGCCAATAGCAGCCTTTCTGATCAATGTTTCTACTATCGATACATATCCCCTTTTAACCTAGCGCATGAATGCGCAATGGGCTTTATGCCCAGTTGCACTACTTCCTGAACTTCAGCCAGCTCCTTGTTTCCTGTCTGCCATTATTGGCCAAATTGATTGATTCAGGTGTGCTTGACCTCAGTAGTCATGGCAACAATAATCAGACACACCTGAATTAATCAATTTGGCCAATAATGGCAGACAGGAAACAAGAAGCAGGCTGAAGTTCAGGAAGTGCAGCTGGACATAAAGCCAATTATCTCACATAACTCAATCCAGCTATACTAATCATAACCGGCAGGAATGTTCGAAGAACCTAATTAGCCGGATCATGATGAGCACGATGATATTATCTTGAATGTCTCATTTGATCTCGGATGTTTTAAGCACCGTACGAAGAACGGGCCCTAGGACAGGAACAAGACACAGCTACAAACATTAACGACCGACAAACAACGACTGAAACACAGAGGTATAAATACACAAGCAGAGCAAGCTAAACAAGATAGCAAGGGGCATGGTGAATCCGAGACACCTGGGAATACTAATAACCAAGACAAGGAACACCTGTAGACACTGAGGACACAATTAACAAATGACAACACACATGGCAGGATCACATGACAAACAGGGAGTCACGTGACAGAAAAGAAGACAAAAAACCCAAACCGTGACACTTTCTTTCTAACTAATCTTTCTTTCTTTCTTTCTTTCTTACTATTTATTTCTAACTATTCTTTCTTTATTTCTTTCTTTCTTTCTTTCTAACTATTCTTTCTGTCTAACTAATCCATCTATCAAACTTCAAACTACTTTAATCTTCTTCAAACTCTCTGGTCCGGCTTTCTCAAGCCAACTTAAAGGGATCCTCCACTTTGTTTTGGAAATAGGCTCATTTTACAACTCCCCCAGGGTTACACAGTCGATTTTTACCGTTTTCGAATCCATTCAGCCGATTTTCTGATATTTAGAAGAATATCAGTAACCAGACAGTTTCTGGTCTCATTGACTTCCATTGTAGGCAAGGCAGGCAAGTTTATTTATAGCACATTTCATACACAATGGTAATTCAAAGTGCTTTACATAGAAAAAATTAAAATAATCAAAAGAAATCAGAATAATTCAAACAATTTAGAATAAAAATTCAAATAAAATAAGGTAAATAATTAAAACAGTTTAGAATAAGAAAATAGTAGGACAGATTTATATGGTAGTCAATGAGACCTGAGGGAGTTGTAAAATGAGCCTTTTCCAAAAAAAAAAAAAAGAAGTGTAGTATCCCTTTAAACTTAGTCTGATCAAATGTTCATCTGGTAGAATTTAGCCCTGCTATTACAGTTTAAAGTGCGCTGTGTTGCTCTGTTCTGGACTGACTGTAATTCTGGAATTAGTTCACGTTTTAGTCTTCAGTGATGCGCTTGCCCACAACATGGGCCATAATCTACACAAGACCCACTGTACACACACGTTTACAAACACAGTGTTGTGGTAAACAGTTTACACATCTCTTAATAACTGACTAAGCTCTTCCCTGTTACCATATCTTCTGTTTCAGCCTGTCTAACTCTTATTCCCTCTGTTCAAAAGCCACTTTCTTTACAGACCAACTCAACTTTTGATGCTATTTGATGCCAAGACAATGCTTTTGGTTTTTATCAAGTTTAGAACCAAATTATTATTCCGTACCTGCATTTCCTCATCCAAAGCAGTAGACAACCGATGTTGCAGGTAAATATGATTTATCATCTGCAGTCCACACAGGCTATCTGTCCTCGACAGCGTCCTTGAGGCACACTACACCAAAACTCTTTCACATCTGAATAACCTCCATTATAAAATACACATGGTCCCATTATAGTTAACATTTAAACCAATGTACGATATGAGTAAATTTGTAACATTTCAGTTTATCCAGCAAGAATTTATGATCCAGTGCATCAAAGCTGAGCTAAAATCTATCAATAAATACTGCTCCTATAAGTTATTAAAGAATAACTGAATTGGCTCACAAACTATCATGTTCAGTACTTTGCTAAGAACTGTAGAGAACTTATCGTTCGACTGTTATGACCATTAAAACCCAGTGCAGTTTTTCTGTAGATGAATAACCTTTGCATCTTTCCAAGTTAAAGGAAAAATCCCCTTTTCAATATACTGATATTAAAGATGTGGCCAACTGGTTCTACCAAACAACATTTCTTCTCTTAATTTATCAACTCTATTTATGAAAAAATCATTAAAATAATCACCAATTTCATATGGTTTAAAAATAGTTAAATATGAGTCACCTGTAAGGATTCATTGAGTGTTCTCCACATTTTTTAAAATAATATTTACATTCTCTTATTTTAATTTTGTAAAACAATGTTTTCGTTTCCCTATAATTTTAGTTGCTTGATTTCTTATTTTACAATAGACGTCCCAGTCCTCCTGGTTCCCAGTTCTGTTCTCTTATTAATAATCCACCAATCCCTCACATCGTCACTGTTTCTCTAATTAATAATCCACCAATACCTCACATCGTCACTGTTTCTCTAATTAATAATCCAATCCCTCACATCATCACTGTTTCTCTAATTAATAATCCAATCCCTCACATCGTCACTGTTTCTCTAATTAAAGGGTAAAATCATCTTTCAAATGCTGACAATGCATTATCAGGATGAATTCCTTATCATCAATACAACATAGGCTACATTTACACCTTATTTTCGACTGAATCTTTTAGAAGGTCTTTTATAATTTACTTTTGGTTTTCCAAGTGTTTTCATGCTTGCTAAATAAAAAATAACATATTTTTACCCATGTGCTTAAATGCCTTAGGCCTAAATGCTTGAACCCCGATCATGATGCCTGCAGCTTTAATGTTTTTTGCACCAAAAGTCTTGTTTTCTGTGAGAAAAAAAAAATCAGAAAAACAAAACAAAAACAAGAACTAATATCTGCCAGTGGAGGCAGAAAAATAGATAATAATGAATATTCAATATTCAAAAATATTAACTCGAAGGGAACTATGTTTCCATTGACCTGCTGCACTGAGAAAGAAATGACTCACGAATTAAACAATATCTGGCATTTACAGTTTGAGGAAAATAGTCTGTAATTGAAGGAAATGCTACTAGGGAAATTTGTTCAAAACTTTATGTGTTTGCATAATCAAATGTACTGGAAAGCTGGAATGATGTCACTGCGTGTGTTAATAAAGCATATTCTGTTCATATCCAGACAGCAAACTCGTTCCCACAGCTTTAAATATCCCGAGGATTGTTCCTCTTTCTGAGAGGCTCGCGGACACGAGCTTCTAAAGCGCAGATCCCCGGATGATCTCACGGACACGAGCTTCTGAAAGCGCATAACCGCGGATGATCTCACGGACACGAGCTTCTGAAGCGCATATCCGCGGATGATCCTGTGTCGAGCTGCTTTGCAGTGAATGATATTTGAGAGGAAGTTTACAGTGTTTCAATATATATAAACTCTAACATCGAAGACATTTTAATGATTAGTTTTGATCATCATGGACAAAGTTTCCACTGTGCTCAACATTATGATTATGAATTGTAAGTATTAAATATCATCATGAGATAAGTGGAATATGCATTTTTTTGTATTGAAAACCTCCTAAACAAAGAAATTAGTTCAAACACATTAATAAAACACAATTAGAACACATATCAAAGGGAAAGATTAAAGGACGTACATATTTCAATTGTTTTTAAAGCCTCTTGTTACAAGACAGATAGTCACGCAGTAATGCTGCACTTCAGCAAGCAAAACAGTAAAGTTGTTTCTGTCTTGAAATTTTGCATTTATGTAGGCAATTTTTTGTTGACAAAATAAGATGATTAACTTTTTTTCCCACAGTAAAGAAAAATCTAATAGAGTCAAAGCTTTCAATAATAATATTGTATAATAATTTAGACTTAGAGTGTCGGGGCATTTAAAAAAATCAATGATTGAAGAAAAGAAACGGGAAAAACCCCGTTAAAAAACAATTCATTGTCATAAGATAATCGTGTCGACGCATTTAAAAAAAATATGCCAATGAATCAAAAATATCAGTACATAACAAAATACATACATAGCAAATAACATGTTCGGCGCATGTTATTTGTTTTTGACTGCAGATAACGTCTGAGCTAGTTGCGGAAGTGACGTATGTTCCTCCAGTCAGAGCTCGCAGCGCATGATTTTGAACATCAACAACGCCCCGACGGGAAGTACGCCAGAGAAGAAACGCACACAAAATACACACAATTTACGCACTATCCGTTCTAAAGTCGCCGGTCAATCGCCTGTGGATAGCGGCGACCAGCAGTGCGAGGTGTGTGTCGTGTTTGTGAGAGGTTCAGAGGCATGTTGTGGAGGTGAAGTTTAACCCGTTAATCTTCTGAGAGATTCGCGGTCAGCCATGGTTCGCGAGCGGGTGCAGAAGAAGAGTTTCCAGCAGAGTCTGGACGAAATCAAGGACAAAATGAAGGAGAAGAGGAACAAACGCCTCGCTGGGGCTTTAGCGGTCAGCCGCGGCCTGTCGAAGATGAAGAACCGAAGCTCAGGTGCGATTCATGCTTTATGCCATTATATAAACCATAGATAGACGTCTGGGTTGTGTTTCATGGTGTCGTTAGGACTGGGTCCATGTAAACCGCTCTTAAAGGGACAGTTCACAGAGAAATGTAAACACACGTTGATCCAAAAGTATGACTGATTTTCCTCTTTGGAAAACAAACTGAGGTCGGTGTTTAAGAGTGACATCCCCATTCTATCGTTTTCCGTTCAGAATTACATGTGTTCCACAGAAGAAAGAAACTCAGGTTTGGAACCAAATTAAAGTCAGCGCGAAACACGCCTGGAACTCAAACAAACGTGGGCGGGGTTTGATTGTGTCTGTGGGAAATAGGCTATGTGCACATTAAGCGTAGTTTCGAACTTCCGCTATTGTCAGAAGTCGGCAGGGGCGTCGGAAGCAAAAAAAAATGTGGTGGTGGGTCATCCTTCAGATTTTTTTTTTTTTTTTTTTTACTGGAGTAGATTAGGGGAGTGTCTAATCAAAAATGAAGTAGAATGTCTAGGCACAACTACCCAGTTTCAAAGGGGTATGCAGCAACAATTTTAGCAAAATTTTGTGTTCTGTAATGTTAAATTCAGCAGTCTGGTGCACTTTGAGAGTTCAAAATTAAAAGCTCCAACCCATATTCAGGGTGCAAATTAAACAGAGAAAAATTTGAACCTCTTTTAGTTAGTGTCTGTCTTTGCATTTACAGAACTAGGTAGGATTAATGCATATTTGTCTTTGACATCTTTGTAGGGCTATTTTCGCTGTCACCTTTCTTCTTTAGACTCTTTGATAGTGCCATTTTCTCTCACCAGCTTAAATGTTAACATCACTCTACACACGACATAATAGCGTAGCCTACCTCCAGCAGGCAAACAATAAAAAAAATTTAGTTTAGTATGCAAGGATGCCAAGGAATAATTCTATGTTTAAAAGTAGTCTAAGTCAAATAATTATTACAATAAATTGGACTCCATTGTGCAACAAGCAAATTAAAATAATAGGTAGCTACACATTTATTATTCACAATATGGAGAGAGGAAATAAAACATAGTTCATTAAGAGCATGTCACAAAAATGCTTATTCAAGTCCTCTTTTATTTTTTTTATAGTTATTTTATCCATTCCACATCTTGTGCATGTTTTTTGGCAAGGCGGGATGTGTTGCAAGATGCGCAGTAGGCCTATATCGGGAGACATGTGGGTCAGCATGATTTTGACCACTTCATTAAGTTTTGTTTTGTAGAAAGCCTTTCTAAAAAATATTTCATTTTCATTTGTATCTTATTTTTAATCAACGTTTTATCAACCAATTACCTGGATTTAATAAATAAGAAGCAAATAGCAGAAAATATAATCAGGATAGCCTATGTATGAGAGTTGCAGTTGAGATTGCATTCGTGAACTGGAGCTCTTCTCATAAATGAGGAAACTCGGCGTTTAAGCTGTCTTAACACAAGAAATATATAGAAATATTAACAATTTCTAATTTAAAATTAAACAATTAAAAACAAAAAAAAACCTACCAATCTCTGATCGGTGATAGGCTAAGTCATATGAAATGCACATCTCTCTCACTACTACTGCGATCACGATTGCAGTCGACACAAACAATTAAAATGTCTCCTTGCTATATTTGAAACATTCATAATCATTACTTTTGCCGGTTCCTCGTAACAGCTTTTCTGTCACCCTCTGGCTAGTAGCCTACAATCAGCACCGAAAAATCGGGATTTTCAAAGCAAGCACATTTTTTTGCACATGTGAAGAGGGTGACTTTCCCCCATCGATATTGGAACATGAGTGAAGTACAAAGCCTATAATAAATAATAGTTTAACATCCAAAAACTTTGCGAATGGAAAAAAAAAATATATTAGAATGAGAGAGTTATGTGTGGAACGTCACACTTTTACTTTCGCTTTAAATTATTTCGTTTAGGCTTGTTTAGCCTGTAGTTATTTTTTTCATTCCTGTTCTGTTCTGATCATTCAATTTAAATAATTTGTTGTGGAATAGTTTAAGTGGATTTTTTTTTAAGCATACTGCCGTGCATATTTGACACTATAACTGTGAGGGTTTTTTTCCACTGCAACTTTGCTGGCTGCGCGTCGTCTCATTTTATTACGACTCTCAACTGTGTTTACAAAGTAGGCCTTTATTAAAATGGCATCGAACACAGCTCAGCCAATAACTTTTTGATAGCCTACTGTCTGGCTATCATGAAAAAAATATGCATTATGAAGCAAAAAATACACCAGAGACCACAGACTGAGTTCTTAAGGTCATTTATCAATAAAAAAAACTTTCTTCAACAATTAGTGTCAGTTTCAAAACACATTCTATAAGAACGGACACTTCCAGTTTTTGGCTATTATTGGCTGAGCTGTGTTCGATGCCATTTAATGCTTTGTAACCACAGACCGTTGAAAGTCATAATAAAATGAGACGATGCGCAGCCAGCAAAGTTGCAGGGGTTGTACACCGGACGAGAAGCGACGCACTGCGTCTATGACAACTCGAGGTATCAAATGAATAAATGTAACATAAGAGTACACAATGTGTTTGAATTTTAAAGACATGGCACTGCGCTTCTCGTGCCCCTTTATATCTGCAAGGAGTGAATGAAATGAAGTGTTTGGTGGGACTCTGAATGAGTCAAGTGGAATGGATTTGAGTAGCAGCGTCGAAATCAATGCTGGAGCTAAAACGTGGAATGGAGTTTAATTTATTAGGGCATTACTCAAGTGGAATGGATTTGACTGACGGCGCTCTGAAAAGTGAACAGACAAATGCGCTGAATTAGAGACGGTAGAAGTGAGTGGGTCCAATATCATTGGTCTTAAAAAGTGGGTGGGTCTTGTCCCACCCATATACAATGGTTCCGACTCCCATGGAAGTCGGAATGTCAGTTTTCGGTTTACGACTGTTCATCCGCGTCCTGGTGTTGTACGAAAAAAAGAGTTCTTAAACACATCTAAGGCCCCGTCCACACTACTGCGTCCAGACTAAAATGGGGAAAACGAAGACATAAAACGGAGAAGTTTATAAACGCTGCGTTTTGAATCTCCGGAGGGCGTTTTAGTGTGGACCAGAGCCATGTATTGAGAGAGTTGCGACACGCTTTGATGTCGCTGCAAGGCTGTCACGTGGTTCATGGAAGCCCCAATAGTTCCAAAACAGATGCGGGCTGTCATGTTCTTCAATGGACAGACAGCAGCGATTGCATTATGAAACGGTAAATATAAAATAATACGCGCAGTCGCACACAAAAGTACTTTTTAAGCTTTTATTGCGTTTGATTAATGTCAGTGTTGCATTTGGAGAGGCAGGGTGACAACTGAACTTAGATGTTTTTTAGGCTATATTTTTGGAGGGAAAAGCCTACCGTGATCACGCAAAGACCGGTGGCCCGTTCAGGATAACAATCACGACAACCAACGTAAAATATAAATAATTACGCAGTGCATGTACAAATGAATGATTTAGGAGGGATATAGACTGCTCCCATAACGTAGCAATGACCATATTTACAGTAATGTTCAGTAAATTTTAACTGTTGGGTATCTTTTCTATTTTGAATGTACTTTATTTTGTAAAGTGCTATGGACCATTTAATATGTATGTCCTGAATAAAGATATGATGACGATGAGTTAATGAGTAAAATATTTGTTCCTAAATATGATCCGTAACTGTTGGGATTCAATTCAGTGGCTAATGTAGCCCTTCATCCTACCCTATTCATAGACTAAACCATTCATCAGAAAACACACACAAATACATTTATACGAGGTACTATGTATCCCCCCCCACACACACACACATGTATATATATATATATATATATATATATATCAGTGATGCGCGGCTTGATCCGAAATGAGCGGGTGCCTGCGGTCACCCGCGGTTACGGGTCATCCAAAAATGTTTTTAATGATATTCGGGTCGCGGTCGGTCGGGTCGTTTGAAAAAAGATGCCAAAACATTTGAATTAATATAGTACTAGACACAATTTTTGATGAAATATACAGCCCTACACATTATTGGCTGAATAACTGGCACGAAGATAACACATCAGTCGAAACAGTTCTCGGTTCTGTACTGGTGATTCAATAACCGCTGTCCCTGTGCGTTCGGTAGTCCACAGTATCAGCTGCTCGTGCTCATCACTTCTCTCAACAGTGGCACCAACATGTCTCGGTTACTGGAGTAAAATATAATTCAGGATATTGATTTATTTCGATTCGTAGGCGACCGTCAGGCATGTCTGAAAGTGAGTAACTTTAGTAACTTGTGGATCAGCGCTGACGCAAGACGCGAACTGTTTCGAACGATTTAGTTCGATTTAGTGTACTGGTTCGACCGGTTCACTAAAAAGAGCCGGTTCAAAAGAACGATTCGTTCACGAACCGGCCATGTCTATGATCACTATAGTCTGCAGAGAGATGGAGGCGGCAGAGAAAAGGTGAAGACTGGGGAGTGGAAGCTCTGCAAATACACAAATAGAAAGAGTAAAAGTGTGGGAGACATTTGCTGAAATAATGAAAGATGATGACCAAAGTGCTGGCTTTGTTATGTGTAGGCCTACGTCTTCTTGCCATGCTGTGTTACACGTCTATGGCCCAATAACGCTCCGATGAGCATTTACTACTTTTAAAAAATGCGGCCAGGAAGCGGGTCGGGTACAATATTTTTTTTACTTTTTTTTGCGGTCCGAGTTGCGGGCGGGTAGTTGAAAACGTCGGTCGGTTGCGGGTTGTTTATACATTGACCCGCGCATCACTGATATATATATATATATATATATTATGTATGCCTATATACATTGCACAAACACATGCATAACCCTAAACCATTTAAATAAATCAACTGTGTGTGTGTGTATGTATATCTAATATTATATACAAAGTATATATATATTGTATATCTAATATTATATATATACATATATATAAAATATATATTATATTAATATGATGTTATAAAAAAATATTATATACAT